AGGAAAGCCTCCAAACGTTGCTAGCATTTGGTTCGGCTTACATCCTAACACTAGCTTCTCTCCAACTTGGACTATTTGAAGTCGGATACCATCTCCCTAGTACTGATGTGGATATTACCACTTCAACTATCCGTGCATTGTTACTTTCTGCACATCGTTAATTTTATTATTGGGTCAAAATCCATCAGAAATCAGAATCATAGAGGAATTTGTTTTTCAACTCAGTCCATTGAATGTACGGCCTACAACTAAAACAACTGAAAGCAGTCTAAGAAACCAACAGTGCAGAAGGACATTAACCATTCTTGAAGATCAGTAGTTATTCAGGACCTATTTTATCTACAAGCGGCGGAGTTATTCCCGAATATCCTGCACACCATTTATACGTATTTGAAGGTGCTTTTAAACAAGTAGGCATATTTTTTACTCAGTTTACTTCAAATATTAGTCATACCTCATACATAGTCGGACGTTTTTGCTTTACTCTCGATGTCGCACTCATACTCTATCATCTGTACGAAACGCTTGCGAAATTACGAATAGCTCCAGTCTTTAGTTTATTCTGAATATCCACCAACCCTCCTACGTCACAGTCGCCAAGGCGAATAGACACCGGCGAACTAATTCCAACAGATATAAACAAGGCAAACTCACTCAACATTACTACGATCAGGAATGGTGCCCTACTTAGAGGCACTCGTTCTCCAACCTCTAAGTGGACAAAAAACTTTTAGTGAAAACTCGGTCTCTGCATTTCCGACTATCCGGACTTAGACGGGTGCCGTCCTCGAAACCACAAGTATTACTCTCTGGGACGTGACTGTATCCATTCGTCGTTTTCGTCAATCTCATAGTCCAGGACCAGATGGCATCCCAGTCAACCTTCTAGAAGCTGAAGCCAATGGTACTTTTTCCGTCTATTCTGTATAAGGGATTTAATCTTGCTCTTGAAAGCGAAACCTTACCTATGTTATGGAAGGAATCGCAAATATTGCCTATTCTCAAGCACGACCGTTCGACGTCCTTTGACGACTTTGAGCCAATAAATACACTTCCCGCAGCCTCGAAGATCTTGGAGACCTTGATCAAAGGATGATGCGTCAACTGACAGAGAACAACCGACTTATTGCGGTCCAGCCTGGGTTCCTCGAAAAAAGATCCTGTGACACCTGCCAGCTCTCTTTCTTTGAGTATGTGCTACAATCTAGAGACAATGGTTTTGCCCTTTACACAGTCTGCTTTGATTTCACTAAAGCCTTTAATCGTGTTGACCATAATCTCCTCCTTCTTAAACTTGCCTCTTTCGGCATAGGTAAAAAGCTTCTGAATTCAATATCTTCCTATTTGGATGCTCGTACAAAACGAGTTAGAGTTTCCAATGTCATCTTTAACCCCACACATGTGACGAGTGACGTACTAAGACCGCTCTTATTTTGCCTTTTTGTCAACGATGTTCCTGATTGCTTTCAAAATGGTAGATCCTTGATGTACGCTGACGATTTAGAAGTTGCCTATCAATATGAACCGGCAGATTTCAATATCGTGCTCGAGCTCATAAAAAGGATCTTCAGGCCTTTGCCCAGTGGTGCTGCACATGACGCCTCTCCCTTTCATGGCACAAATGTTCCGTCATGGTTTTTAGCGACGATCATTAGCCTGAAGTAAGCATAGACGGTCACGATCTACATGTGCCAGAAGTTATTAAGGATCTGGGCATATTCTATTCTAATAGTCTCAATCTGTCAGAGCACTCTGCCCTTTCTGTCTCGAAATCACGCCGAACAACCGGATTTATTCTCAGGAATTCTAAGACAATCAAGATAAGAAGTAGTCCTCATAATATGTCCGTAAGACCTATTCTCGAGTACTGCTAGTCCCTATTGAGCCTTCTGCGCGCTAGTGAACGGAAGAAAACAGAATCGGTCCAGCACCATAACTTATACTAACAACAACGTTGTGCACTTATTAACATCGATCCCTTGTGGCTTCGCATATTACAGAAGGGACTATTTTTATTGGTTAAACTTTTAAACGGCCGTAACTTCAATCCCCTCAGTACCATAAAGTATCTCAACCACTCTCGGTGCGCCGGTAATCGAGATATGTTTTTATTTCTCCCTATTGCATGCACAGTTAGATACCGTAATTTTTTTTTCAGTAAACGCCATAGCACTCTGACATAAACTGCCCAGAGATATTAAAACTCAGCAAAGCTATCTTTTTTTAAGAGAGCTGTCACTAGTTTTCTACATTCAGGACAACGTTCAAGAATTTCGAGTGCTGATTCTAATGGCGTTCGTGGACTTTGAACCCTGCCAGGCCTCATGCTGAGGATAATGGCGCTGAATCTGCGGCCCGCAATCGGCTGATTCTTCAACCGACAGCGAGCAATTGTTCGCCGACAAACGTTCCGCTGGTGCTGAATCTCGAAACTATTACACTCAAGGAAGACTAAGAACACTGTGTTCCTATGTCCACACTCCCCGTCCCGAACTAAAGTCACTCAATGAGCTGCAGTTTTTTCTACTAAACTGTCAACTCGATCTATAACTGTACATATCCTTCGTTAGTGTCGTACATTTTAACTCATTTTTTTTCAACTTGAAACAAACTCTCTATTCCGCCAACGACTGACCTATCACAAAACCAAAACAAAGCCAATACTGACTGCAAAAGAGGGATTGCTTTTGGTTTTTTCTGCATTCGAGGTTTTGGAAGGCGCCCAAGATGTATAGGAGTGAAGGTTAAGACGGTTAACCCTAACACCTACAATCTTCCAG